ATATATATATATATATATATATATATATATATATATATATATATATATATATATATATATATATAGTCACTAACATCATTTATGAATTTCTTCCTAGGCTTTACAGATATCAGCTGGTAAACTATTTAATTAGCTTTGTCGTAGTAGACGAAATTGATAATATCAGTTAACTTTTTATAATCCAGGCTATTACTCTGTGACATTTCTCTTCACATGAATTTTCTACGTGTTTTTTGTCCCTAACGATTTGTAATGTCAATGTCTTCTTGTGATAAACAAGCTATAGAAATGTTGAATAATCAGGAATGTAAGGAACTTAATAGAATATTTCATGTAACTTTGCTCGCATATGTGTTCATATTCGAAATAGTAGTTTGTATTTGTGTGAGTGACAGCAGTGAATAGCTGTCATTACAATTTGCATGTCAAGTTATTCGTTGAATTATTTCTGGCTTCTTTATAAAAAAAAAAAAAAAAGAAAAGTTCTAACATTTGCTTGGTGTTGTAGCAGTCGAGTTGTGAGTCATTACTTCAAGATCTGTGGAATATATCATGCATTGATCGCTATTCCGAATTTAGCAATTACGACGCTATAACCATCTCATCATCGTCCACTGCAGTGTCATCCGTATCCCTACGGTTGGTGTATGTGATTGTGTTCTTCGTGTTTTCGTGCTGCATGCACTACTTCTGCACTCTTCCTATAACGAAATATACTGTATAAATAAGGAATATATAGAACAGTTATATTAAGATTTCTCATACCAGAACTGTAAAAGGTACACCATCAACCTTTGATGATTTTACAAAAAACATTGTTAGTATTGCGCTACATTTCTAAGGAAATAGGAAGATTCAAGTGTTATTGAATCCTGAATGGGTTACGATTCAGAAGTCGAAGATTTGAAATGTCTTGTCTGAATAATGAAGTAGCAAATATCATTCGTCAAACAAATGTACACATGTGAAATATTTAGATTGTTCTTTGTAAAAAAAAAAGTATCAATATTTTCCTGTCATTACTTTTTTTAATTTATTGGAATCTTTGAATCTACCTTAGATTCTTCTTCAACTGCTTTCTTTTTACACTTTTTCTGCTCGATTGGGATTTGAATTCATATTTGATTTTCGTGAAATCTTTCATTTGTTACTTCTCGGATAATTTCCATCGTTTTAATTTCTAAAATATTTCATACAATTAGGTTATCGTTGTTCAAATTTTTCCAAAGAATCAGTTTAGTATTAGTGCGAATAAGAATATTTCATTTATTCGATTTCAAGTTTGATTTTATTTCATTGCGTCCTGATAAAACAAAGATTGAAACTTCGACGTCAGGTGTATCGACTATGCTTTTTTGGGGAATTTCGGACTTGGCACATAAACTAGCTTTCAAATATGTGAACAACGAATTTTTATATTTTTTTAATCCACCTGTTACCTGAACAAGTTAATTCATATCTGCATTAGTGATTTTCATCTACTATTGCTTTTTTTCAACAAAAACAAAGTCTAAATTTTTGTTTCAGGAACAAATTTTTATAAATGTTGAATTGAATCGTGGGCCGAAAGGTTTTGGTTTTTCAATTCGTGGTGGACAAGAATTTGACTCGATGCCATTGTTTGTCTTACGAATTGCGGAAGATGGACCAGCAGCATTAGATGGTCGCTTAAAGGTTGGCGATCAACTGATGGAAATTAATGGACAGTCAACACGTGGTATGACTCACACTAATGCAATCCAAATTATCAAACAATATCCGAATGTTAGATTATTGGTCAGGAGACCGCAAGGTTTCTTAACTTTTTTTTTTTGAAAATTGTTGCTATATTAAATATTTTATGTAATTCATGTTGTTTACCTTTTCTCTCATTATAGATATATATGTGTATGTTTCGTTTATCACGTTTGGAAGTTGTAATAATTTTGCTGAATTTCGGAATTTAGTAAATGAACTGTTGAGAACCCATTTATTTGACATTTAGATAAAATTAAGGCAGAGATAGCTTGTTTCCCTATTGCATAATGATCAGGTTTTAAGTTGATAAGTTTAAAATAAATGTAATAGGTTGTCTATGGTGATAAGTTCTTTGTTCCTGCTGTTATTGTTTGATTTGCTCTATTCGTATCAGTTTTTTTTCTTGGTAATTATCTATATGTTCTGTAATATCAGAAAGAAAAAAAATTCCATTTCATGGATCAATATTCTGTGTTTGTAATCTTCTGCCTTTTGCTGTACGCACTTTTTTTTTCTGTTAAAGCTATTTTAATTTGGAATTCTTCCATTTCAATAATTGCCTCAGTCACATTTAGTTACTGCTTTAGAAAGATTTCATTTCATAAAAGTGAGATGTAATTATTCTCATTCATTACGTATACATATTTATGTCTTTTGCTTTATTTTTCTTTTTAGATCTCATTTTGTACATTTTAGTTGTTACACTTTTGTGTGTTTTGAATCAAAATTGCCCTTTCAAAATTAAATCAGAACTAACAAACATATTTTAATTTTACACGAAATTTTTGTATCCCAATTTACAGGGAAAAATCTTTTAAAAGGCTTTTCAGTTGTAACTTATTTGAGCTCATTTTTTTTCTTTTTCTTTTTTTTTGAATACTTTTTGATTAGAGTGTTGTAAGAGAAGTTTCTTTTTTTCCAAATTGTAAGAGATGTTTCTCTGATAGTAAAATATTGCAAAGTTGTGTTTGGTTTCATTCGTGTTCTTCCTCTTTCACAATCTTGTGTACAGTTGCATTAGTATGATTCAGTAAATTTCAAATATATAAAATCAGTAAATTCCAAATATATTTTCAAATATAAGTTTCAAATATGAATATTACTTTCTGATAATGTGATAAATATCATCTACTTCGCAAGGATCCTGTCGTTGGAATTTCGCAAATTCAAGATATCGAAATCAGCTGTAAATTTCAAAAATGATCAATAATTTAAATAAGAAAGTATGTGTATATCTTTTGTAAAATTTGAGACAACTCCAGTTTTGTTACTACAGGTATATATCGACTTTGTGATAGTAGTACCTTTATCATAGGTTGCCTGTGATTGGTACTTTATGCAAAATTTATAGGTTTTTGGATAAGGGATGCAATTTTCGAATACAATGAAAATCCATCAATAGGCCTAATTTGATAGTGTCAGTGCAAATGTGCATTGATAGGACGGATGGTCCAAACACTTCACCGTAAATTGCTCATCAAATGCTTAGCTTGATTAACGCATTTATTCCGGCTGATATGCATCCCTGTTGGTGTTGTTCCAATCTAATGTACTCTTAAGATTTGCTTGATGTAATATATTAAATTAGAAATGCTGAAAACAATTTCCGGGATTGTTTATCGAGTTAATTTGTTAACATTTCAAATAAGTCAGGTTACCTCGAAATTGTCTCTAACATTTAACCCCACTTTTTTTTCTGTAGATGAAATTGTGACAGTTCCGATTTCTACTTACTGCTTGAATTTCAATCTTAGTTAAAGTACACAATTCATAATTCTCAATTGTTAAACTGAAAGTAATAACAGAATCTGAGCAAAAAATATAGATTTTGATGAAATCCATATAAATATATATATTTCTTGGATGTTCTGATAATTTCTCATATGCTTTCGACTTTGGGAAACAATTTATTGGTCTGTTCGATTTCATTTCTCCTAATTTATCGCTTGAGGGTTCTAAATTTCTGTAAAATATGGCAGAAAAATGAGAAGTGACAGGAAAAACAACATCGATTACCGTCAATAAGCGATTTCAATTCACAAAAGGTATGACACGTCTTAGTCATCGGTGAGAGTTGTCTTGGAAACGGATTTTACTGAAACAGCTTTCTAAAAGGCGATTGAAAAATTGAACAATTGTAAAAAGAAAAAGAGAAAGAGGATCAGTTATTTCGTTCCTTCTCATTATACATGTTACTTTAATTAAGATTTAATAGTTTCATTAAATTCAGAAGGAAAAAAGTAAAAATAAAATGAATGCATCTCGGTTACATACATTAATTCACTTAGTAATGAAATTGTCAACCGTTTCTTTGTTAAGACAAATTGATGTCACTCTCATTTTATAAAAACAACTACTTTTGGTTTTCTTTTTTATCCAAGATTTAATTTCCATATTTTGCAATGTTACTTATTCAAAGTTACAGTAATGGAAGCTTTCTGCCAAGATGTATGATACGAAATGCTTGTTATCATAATGGTATACACGATGATTAAATCTTATCATTGATAAATAACTTTATATTTCCACCTTACTACTGCATGAACTTTTAGATCTACATTTCTATGCAACTGATAACCTTTCATAAATTCTTGCACTATCCAAATGCATTATCAAATTTCTGAAGTGTTACTTTTATATTCAGGTGTAATGTAACTTTTCTAAAGTTTCTCTTCTAATAAAGTGCATCTTCGTACATTATATATTTTTGAAATATTAACAATCTCTATTCTCGTGCACTGACCACATTCCACGATATCCACTACAATTGTGAAATTCAAATTAGTGACGAAATCATTACCTCTTGTGACTCATGAATGTAATGACGTTGGAGGAGGTAATGAGACAAAATGGACAATGAAAAATTTATCCGTCTTCAACTGAGATATTCTGCTTGTTCAATGTTACCTGTCCGATCATCCAATGATGATAATTTATGAATTGAGATGATGCAATAGAAACCGCTACACTAAATTCGGATGCAAAAAGCAGTTGTTCCACCTTCACATTCTCGTTTTCATTCATAATAATCGATGCATAATAGTTAGTAGTAATAATAGGAAAGCAGGATATAACAAGGGGCTGAACCTTTTTCCTTTGGTCAAGCATCATTTTGGTTCAGTTCCGCTTGATCCAGTCTCGACCATTGACACGCCCAAAAGTGAACTCTCCTAATCTCACCCTTTCATTCCCTCCCCCTTTTCAACATTCATTATTTTATTTGTTCCGTTTGGTGCTCTGTTAGAATCGGTCACTTATTTTACTGATTAATTATACCTCAAATTTTACTCAATTAAAAGTATTTCTCTTCCCATATTCCACAATAATAATATGCAACACCAATGATTCATTGAAATTCAATGTGACAATGTAAAATTTCACGAAAAATTTAACTTATGATCGCTTCAGCTATGAAGAATTTCTATCAATTACAACATAAACTAACAGTGACAATTTATTTTATTGTATTGCCAATCATTGCTACCACATTTCACCTTAATCCACCTATACTTGATAGTTGTACCGCTGGTTGCTTAATACCAACTGAAAATAGTACTATATGGTTACCGTATAGTTATCCACCATGTATTCATCCCGGACAACCTATACTACGTTGGTCCAGTACAGTAATCTGCAATAGACCAAATTTTCTGACTTCACAAAGTGTTTCCCTGGATTCCTCATCTGGTGTACTATTTGCTGAGGAGCGTGTATGCTTCTATGTAGAACCGTGGTACGTGGTATATACATATGATTGTTCTGGTAGTAATATACCAAAACAAGGTGCCGTTTTTCTGGATCATAAAAAATACGCCACAAAAAGACGATCAAAACGATGGATGCGACGAAGGAATCCAATAGTACCACGGATACACTTCCAGCAAGAGAGATATATTACTGAAATTCCGGAAGATACACCAATTAATTCATTGATTATTAAATTACATGCCACTCATATCACTAATGAATCAATGTATTATGCTATGGTAGCACCCGAAGATTCTCGTACAACTAATATTTTTACCTTAGATACCGTTTCCGGCGAAATAAGGTATGTGTTGTTTATCGTTTAACTCCTCAATTTAAGATTTTTTCTTTCGGTACTTTAACATAAAGTGATGTCATTTTTAAATGTTCAAAAATTCTTACAAATTTGAACTAAAAAAAGACGTATTTATTGTTGATATTTGCAATTAAAAAGATCAAATTTCGAAATTCTATGAACATTCTCTTTTATTTAAGTATTCGTGTCTTCTTTGAAAAATGAACACTTTTTAAAAATTTCTTTTGATTGGATAAGAGAACGAACATTCGACCAAAAGTTATTCAGTTTTAAAAATTTTCATAAATAATTAATTTTCCATGAAACAACAAAATGCATCATTGATGAGCTTATCATTGGTTCACTTTTTTGTCTATTCTCTTTGGCATAGCTTTACTGAAGCAATGATAATCGCTTGCTATTTTTTTCTTTTTTATTTTACTATTTGGTAATTTATTAAATAGGAAATTCATTCATTAATTGATTTCTTAATTGACTATTTTTTCATAGCAAATTTTAATCAATTTAAAAAGTTTTGTTTTTTCTACCAAGAAAATGGAAATGTTTTCTTTTTCAAGGAATTTCATCATTAATAAATGATACGCATAAAAAATAAATATACTTATGAATATGTTTACGTTTTACATTTAAATTCATTGGACAATTAGGTGATCCTTACCTCTTCAACGATCTTTTTTTTTTCTTCCACATTATTGAAATGAATAAATTCAAGTTAAATTTCGATCCCTCGATTATTTCTATTATTTCCTTAATTGAAAAATAACAGAACATGAATTGTTTGATACTTTTTAATAGGCATACAATGTTGAGGCCAAATTTTGCATCCCAAATTTCTGGTCCAACTTAAGCAGTGCTCACTAACATTTTCACTTTACAGGAATATATAAACTTCTTGAGGTGCACATCTAGCATGCAATCACAACTTTAAAACAGTAGATTAAAATAGTAGGTTAAGCTTGTCCAAAGACAAGGGAATTTACAGAAACATTCCCTTGTCTACCTACGATAACATTTGACCTGCGAGGTAATTTTGATATTCAGACAAGCTTAAAATTGATTGCAGCAAGGTTCAGATTTTTAAATAAGTTAAGTAACCATTGTTATCATTGTCTTATAATTATCTAACATTTCCTATTCTCAAATTTATCGCAATTCAAATAATTTGATCAATTTTAATCATTTATAAAATCGATTGGTTTAATATTATTGTCAGCAAATTATTAAATTTTCAAATACTGCACTTTTTTTTAAATGTAATTTTAAATTAGCACCTCAGTACAATGTCATTAGTTAATTTTTCGATATTATTATAACTTCGAGATTTGAGCTTTTCTTTGACTTTTTTGTTTTTTTTTTTGCTTCATCCTTTTTCTATATTTATCAGAGTTGGGAAGGCGTTGGATCGCGAGACACTGGATCGGCATGTACTGAAAGTGACAGCTTATGAGCGTCTTGATCCAGCCGTATCAGCTAGTAGTTCGGTAATTGTGGAAATCCTGGATGTTCAGGACAATGCTCCAATTTTTGAACGCAATTCCTATTATGCTGAAATTCGAGAGGATGCACCAGTAAATAATTATACCCTTAGCTGATCAAAATTAGATATGTGATGCTGTTGCTTGTTAGAAGCAAGCCAATGAATGAATTGTTGCACAGAGGGAAGCTTCTTTTGATACAAATTACGGGGTGGACATTATTAATTTGTTCGTTATCGAATAATGCAATTAAAACGTATAAATGCTAAGCGAATTATGTCACCTAAATTATTACAAATATATTTGCATCAAGCAGGTTAAACCATTAAACCAAAGTATTGCTTGGAAGAACAAACTGTATAAAGTGAGATCCAACATAATTAATGATAATTACTGACAGGAGATATTTGATTAGCATTTGTATTAATTATCATCACTCATTTGCTTTTATATGGGGAAGAGTGAGAATGCGAGATCAGTTATCATATGTGGTATGAAATGCAATATTCTTAAATGTAACCTTTAAATTAAGTTAATAGCAATTAAGTATTTCTCTCATTGCAGATTGGCACAACATTAGCATCAGTTTTTGCCCGTGACCTAGATATCGGTTTAAACGGCGAAATTACTTATTGGCTTGGTGAGGAAGATGGTGCTGAATTACTTCAAATTCATAGTTCAACAGGGGTAATTCAAACAGCACAGCATCTGGATCGGGAATTGATGAATATTATCCGGATATATGTATATGCAACCGATAAAGGAGTACCACCGATGACATCAAGAGCTCTTCTAGAGATTAATCTTCTTGATGTCAATGATAATGCACCTGTTTTTGAACAGGTTATTTAAAAATCTAATTTTAAATTTAATCCAATAATTATTGATTATTTGTATGTTTTTTTTCCCTGACAAATATGTATTATCCGTGGTTGTTAGAGGGACAGGATTAGATTAATTCAAACTTTACAATGTTATAGGAAACTTTACAAGTTGAAAAAAAAAATTGCAACTTAATGAGAAACGCTCATTCATTCTTATTTGTTTCAATAAAAGTTATTTTGCAAAAAACATTGTCTTATTATCGTTTGAAGTAATGTTCACTTTGAATTGCAATAGCATTTGAGAACTAAAATATATTACTTTTAAAAGTTAATAAAATTAATGAAATTTAGACATTTTTTCCCTTCTAAATAAAATCTTTTAGAAAGTAATGAAAGTTTTAGGAATTTTTTAATGTCACGATAATGGAAAATATCACTATACCATCCAATATTTTACAAATCAGAGCAACAGATAGCGATTCTGGACAAAACGGTAATATTTTTATTTCTATTATGAAATATAAATGAATTCAAAATAAATTTAATTTTTTTTCAAATTTCATTAAAATTAATAAGGTAAATTGTATATTGCAGGAAAAGTGCATTATAGTATTGTGGCATCTAGCGTAAATGGGTTTTCCATAGATTATGAAAATGGTTGGATAAAATTGTATCAAAAAGTGGATTCACGGTCCAACCCTGTAGCACTTCTAGTACGAGCCAAAGATTCAGGCCAACCTGCTCAATCTTCAACGATTAATTGTGCTATCCATATTATCGATATTAATGATCATGTATTGATTAATTATTATATTGTCATCTATCATTTGCTTATTTATCAACATTTCCTAAAAGAATTTTTTAAATTAAAAAAAAATGGTTTTTTTCCTCTCTTAAAAAAAAGCTATAGTTTAATCAGTTATTGGAATCCTAAAGTTATTTAGGTAATATGGTAATTTGGATTTTACATTAATTAAGAAACTTTTCCAGAAACCCCATTTTATTGCATCACGACAAGAGTTATTTGTGGAAGAAAATGTACCAATTGGATTTGAAATAACACGAATTTTTGCTATCGATGAAGATAATGATATGAATGGTCGAATTACATATACATTAGATGGCGACAATAATGTCAATGAGACATTTCGTATTGACCGAACAACAGGAATTATTACAACAATAAGCAAGCTTGATCGAGAGGAAAAAGAGAAGTATATACTTAAGGTAATGAAATTATTGTTTAGAGAATATAATTAACGAATAATACTGCTTGTTTCTGCATCTTCTATTAAAAGTTCTGAGTATTTCGCAATTAAATTTTTCAAATTTTTTTTTTCTTTTCTTTTTTGGGATAAAGAAGGAAAGATGAAGAAAGATGGAGGTGATAAGAACTTTCGGCTATTAAATTTATTATAACAATAATTGGCACAAAGATAAAAAAAAGCTTTCCACAATTTGACATTGATAAAAAAAATTTCTCTATTTTAGGTGAAAGCAGAAGATGGAGGCGAACCGCCATTATCTGACAGTTTATTTATAACAATAATAATTCGTGATATCAATGATAATGCACCATATTTTGAACCTAACTTTTACAATATTACTGTACCCGAAAATGAAGTACGTGGAACGCAATTAATTACTGTGAAAGCAATCGATCATGATAATGACGATAAGGTAGTATACCGTATTGAGAGAGCCGACAAAGACATTTTTTCACTTATTCACTCAGCTGATCTAGGTTTTTTTTGTTTTCTTACAGTTTTAAATTTTAAATTAATTTAGTTATTGGCTTAAATAAATGTCTTATTGACTGCTTTATTTATTTAGCTTTCATCTTAGTTTCTTTTTTTTTTAAATTTATTCTAAAACTTTCCGTGCAATTGAAGAGTAGAAATAGTAAAATACTATATAAAAGACAAAAAGATGACATGTCCTAATGCTTATCCTACGAATCACTCAGTGCTGCTTGCTAAGAGCTTACATAGTAATACTACGAATGGGCACGACCAGTTTTATGATAGGTTTTGTTGAACTGATCAGTTTAGGAGAACGAGAGTATGGGGTAAAAGTGAAAGTAAATACGCCATAATTGAGAGCCACAATGAGCAGGAGATCATGATTTTCTCCCGTTCTCTTAGTGGTTCTTGGACTTAAACGATGGGTTTGAAATGTTTGTAAAACTAGTTCAACAATTTTAAAAGTATGATACATAGAGCATAATTTGACTTTAATTATAAACTGGGAGTTCCTAAGGGATTGCTTATCAATTATTTCTTCGAAATTTCTTATTAATTAATACGGATGTAATGCCATTAATTTTTCTTAAATTCGAGAGAATTCTTGAAGTTCCCTTTGATGCTTGGTTGTTTCGCCGGTTCAAAACATCAGCATTCTGCATGATATCTCCCGATGCATGATATTCCCGCTCCTCCCCTCCTAATTCTAGGCTTAAAAAACCCCGAAATTTGTAAGTATGCTGATAAGAAAACATGAAATACTTCCAGGGGGCCATATTATCGTTGTCAGGTGAAATTGATCGTACGGATGATACACTACGTGTGATGATAGCAGCAACTGATAAGGGTGGTTTAACAGGTACTTGCACAGTAACTATTACTGTTGCCGATGTTAACACTGCACCGGTATTTCTTATTCATCCGTTCACAGTACATATCCCAGAAAATATCCCGATCGGTTCAGAAGTTATACAGTTGAAAGCGGAAGATCAGGATCGACACGAGAATGCCAAACTTACCTATTCCGTTGGTAAATTTAACAATTACTTATCATTAGTTAAAATAATACACCAAAATTTTAATTTTTATAATAGTTACTAAATTATCAAACTAATTTTTAGTGACAAGTATGTTTTAAATTTTTGACAAAAAAATTGCTTAGTTATTTACTAAAAATTAGCACTGTTTTTAATTAAAAGAGATTTTCAAACCTGAAAATTACCTACCATTAGGAACCATTTGTAAATATTTGCATATTTTAGACAGTAAGGAATTTAAAATTGATAAAAATACTGGCTTAATAATGATAGCCAAAGAGATTGATCGAGAAGAACGCAGTAGCTATTTGCTAAATATTACTGTCATTGATCATGCAACTAATCCACTCAGTGCAAGCACATTTCTTGAAATTATCTTGAATGACAGTAAGTTTATTTTCACTTTATCAGCAATATTTCTATCATTGTATTTTCTGCTGCCAATATATTCCATTTCTTTTAGATTTTCGGATTTTCCTTTTCCTATTATTATTCCATTTCTTTTTGTATTTTTCGGTATTTTCCTTTTCCTATTATTATTCCATTTCTTTTTGTTACGTTTTTTTTTTTTTTAAGACTTTCATTTTTTCGAATAAATATTAATTTATTGATATTTCCATTTGTTTAACATTTTTAGCATTTTGAGGTAATTGATTTTTCTTCCTTCCTTTCTTTCTTCCTTTCTTTCTTTCCTTGTTTCTTTTTTTCGTCAAACTTCACTCTCCTTTTTCTCTTATATTTTCCATTAATTTAATTTCGCTTAAAAGTTTCCAACTTTTCATCTTTTCATTTCATCACTAAAATAAGAAAAATGCGACAATATTGAATGATAAATCAATCGTATGCATACTCAAAATGACAATTCATGCATTCCAATTTGCAAAAGAGAGACAAAAAAAGGAAGCATTTATCCAAACTTTGAATGTATATGCTTCAATGCAAATTGTACAAAGATCAATGAGCCATAAAATACTTTCTTCCTGCATATCTTATCGTCTTCTTTCATTTCATCTTCGTTCCTTAATTAATCTGACAAAATGAAAGATATTGAATGTGACCAATGACTGTTACCAAATACTATTGCTAATGTTTACTGTAGTTATTGCAATCTCTTCTTGCCATATTGCTAATTATTGCTTATTTAATTGCTATCCATCTATCATATCTCAACAATAATTTTAGAAGAAAAATGAAAGGAAAGAGAAGATGTGTAGTCTTTCGATTTCATCGAAACAAAAAGATTGGAATAAATTAACTAAATTAGTTGTTTGAAAGTAGTTTTAATGAATGATTTTTAGTCTTTCAAGTAAATAATACTCAGTGGAAGAAAAAATGGAGATATAAAATTATCACCCATTTCATTTTGACCAAATCTACATTTGTAATATTACTAAACAAAAAGAAAAAAAAAACAATTGTAAACAATTTAATTAAAGACAAGTTTTTGATTGTAAGGATTACGCTAAAAGGCATAAAGGCTTCATATGGACTTGAGGATTACTCTTGGGAATACAGTAATTGGGATGCTTCCATTCATTTCTGTGGGATAAAATTAAATTAGATTTAATCTTCAAGTTTAAACAAAAATTAAAGAGTAAAAATTGAAGAAATTATTTAATATTTATGTAAAATTATAAGCAAATACTTTAGAAATTCTTAATTATCAACCTCCGAATTCTCGAATTAAGCTAATCGTCAAGTTAAGATACATTGAAAATTGAAATATTTCAGAACTCTTGTTCAACTTTTGCAAATTATCCATCCATCCTTTCATTGTAATCTTAAAATTTTGCATCGTTGTCTTTCCACAGTTCTTTTCACCAAATTTTCAACCTTTTTTAAATCAATCGCCATATGACATTTCAAGATACTCTGGAAAAGTTTTCAGATTTCTGCTCTTTAATAGTTTCAAAAACTTTATACTAAAATGTCACTGTTTCAAGTAAATGACAATGCCCCGGAATTTACATCTGAAAATTACACGGTTGCAATAGCGGAAGATACGCCAACTGGAACATCATTCACGCAAGTAGCAGCTGTTGATATAGATGAGGGTGATAATGCAATTATTGATTACTATCTAATTGAAGAGAATGGAAATGGTGACACCTTTAAACTGGATAGATCATCTGGAACATTACGAGTAGTTAGTAAATTGGATCGTGAAATGATCGCAAGGTTAGCTACCACCATATGAAAAATCCATATGTTATTTCATTTTCAAAGGGAAGAGTGAAATTAAGAATGAATCAAATTTTTAATCATTTCATAAAATTAAAATTATCTTTCCTGGTATATGCTAGTAATAGAAATCGTAGTTATCCTTCCCTTAACTATTATTGATAAATATAATTTTCCCAGATATGAATTAACAGTGAAAGCACAAGATCGTGGTAATCCACCATTATCATCATTTTCCACCGTATCAATAATTATCATTGATGTGAACGATTATGCACCACAATTTGAGTCATCTCGATATGACTTATGGATTGCGGAGAATAGTCCTATAGGTACTACAGTTGGTACTATTATTGCTCGTGATGAAGATGAAGGTGACAACGCGCTCATACAATTTCGAATATTTGGTGGCATTGATGCGAAACTTTTTGATATTGAAACGGCATGAGTTTGTTTAAGATTCATGATAATATTACGTTACTTGCTGCACATACTAACTTATGAGCTGGAAAAAGTAAAAGAATTACAAGTGAATGGATGATTGATGTCCTTTGACCTTTAATAGGCAACAGTAAAGCGTACTGCCTTCGATATTTAGGAAGTATATTACAGGATTCAAATCAAAACGGAGTGGTACATATACTTTCAAGAACAATTTTCGATTACGAAGCAAAAAAGAACCATTTTTTTCTTGAAATCCAAGCAAGCAGGTCAATTTCATTTTGATAAACTCTCAATCAAATTTGTGTTGACCCTTTAGATATTGTTATGTAAAATGAGATGATTTCAGTGACCAACTAAGTTCCATTGTACCCGTTTATGTCCATGTCAGCGATGTTAACGACAACAGACCTCAACTTCGTGACTTCACTATTCTTTATGCAAATCATGTTGATGAACCTGTGGAACAAGAGATAGGATATGTTCCAGCTTTGTTTGTTTTTCATAACTTATATTTACTCGTTAATTTCCAAATTCTTTTTAAAATTTTGATTCCACTACGTTTCTTTTTTTGAAATTTGGAAAGAAAACTTTGGTTTTCTTTTAGTATTAGCATCTGATTTAAAGCATACAGTAGCACTAATGCTACAATTTATACAAAAAGGCAGGTGCGCATATTGGAAATTCAACTTTGAAGTTTTGAATTCCTGATTATTCGGATAAATTTAGTGATCCTGACCATAATGCAACCTTGGAGTATGACATTGAAACAAACGATATTTTAATGGTGGATCAATATAAAGGTTCCATTATGCTGAAGAACGTTTGGAAACGATATATAAATGCTGTTTATAAGATTTGTGTTTCTGGTAAGATTATTAAAATTCATCTAGCTAATAAATAAGACAAGAAATAGCACATTGAAACCTGAAATAATAATGAATGTTTATGGCTAGAAATACATTTCAGATGGTCCGAATAATGTTTGCGCTAAATGTCGATTCATTTATATACCCGTGGATGATAGTATTATCCGCGATACGGTTACTCTTGGACTCCCGAATATTCGTTATGAGGAATTATTGGATAATGATGTTTTTGAACGATTCACAAGTGCCATATCACTTTTAGATGATTGGCATAACGATGATATTTGGGTTTTTAGTATTGATACTCATAACAAGTATACAAATGTATCATTTGCTGTTCATCACGGACAAACCATTCAAAGGTAATTTATTCATTTTTTGTCAAATGCGTAAAACTTACATACATGTATTCTTTAACTAATTAAATTGCTGAATTTTTAAATCAATTAATTTGTTAGAAAAAAGTAGTCTAATGAGTTCACTTTAATATACCATATATCTGCTTCAGAAGTATTCATAACTCACGAAACGTTTAAACTACATGAAGCGCTTAGAACGGATGTTTAAAATTAATTTAAGAGCGTAGTTATATAAAAATGCATTTCGCATTTGCAGATACGAACCATTTAGTAAAACATGTGAGTTTAAATTTGAAATACGATGACATCTAACATGAGCGAGAGCTTTCTTTGTATTTGCAAAGTAGGAGGAAACATAATCGAGATTTTAAAATCTTTTAATTTAGGTCGGAACGTGTAGAAGGATTAATTAGAAATGGTCTTGCCAAGCTAAGTGACATAATTGGCATGAAGTTAATGATACATAGAGATGCCACCTGTTCTAATGAACCGTGTCCATACTTTCAACAGTGTAGAAATACTCAAAAATACGTCAAAACTACGCAGGTGATTTGAGTGTTTCTATAACCTTATAGTAAAATAAATGAATCATCAATTAATTGCCATTTGTTGGAAGTGTCACTTGATAGATATCAACTGTTTGGTATTATTCTTGATAGTGTCAAGCTTTCAATACACTCTCTTCATACAACCATTCATTACATGATGACTCTCAGTATCCTCAAATGGGTGAAATCCCGAGGCAGGATACAAATGGTCTGTGTTATTTTCGGTTAGATGAACGAAAAAAAAATTTCGGTGAAAATGTCTCAAAATGCAATATGAAAACATCTAACACATAGTTCAATTTTAATTCAAAATTAATTTAAAAATAAATTGCAGAATTTTAAAACGGACAATTTCTTGATGCATTCTTTGGATACTGTCAATTCATTTCAATGTGAATGTCCGACCGGATTTGCAAGTTCGTTTTATTTAGTTTTAATTTATATGCAACGGAATTAAATGAGGGTTTTATTCATAATTATATTTCACAATGTTTAACAATTGAGGATAGACCATTGATCAATTTGTGGAATTTCATGTAATGTATGTCTCATTCGACTAATTTTCATGACAGATGGGTCAACCAATTCAAGCATTTGTTTTCCCAATGAAATCTCTCACTGGAACACAATGCACTGCTTCGTTTTGCATATATATCTCATTAAATAGCCAAGATGAGAGGTGCTAGGAAGAAACCCTAAAGGATCAAAACGGATTTTTCCATTCAACATTTTAGGGGTGTAGAAAGCCCAATGAAACACATCTTATCATCAATAAATCATTAGCAATTGAATGATTTAATTGTCTTCAAAGGACTATGAATTTCCTTCTATCTCCGTGAGAATATTTGTATATGAACTTGTATGCTATATTAAATTAGTATTATATATATATATATATATATATATATATATATATATATATATATATATATATATATATATATATATATATATAT